ACGTGTGTAGCCATTGCAACATATACAATATCCAGATGAAATATACATCTGAAATGCATAAAATATACGGAACTAGATGCCATGGAGTGATGGAAAAATTTGGGCCACCACTCAGCTGCCATGCAAACGTGGGCCCGCGCTCCTCTCACAAACAGGCAAGCGTCCTGGCCATCCCTGCAACTGGCTAAGCGCCATGCCGGTCGGCCAAAACAACAACGCGGCAAGCAGCATGCGGCAGGGGCAACTTGGCCTGGGTGGAGACAACACACAGAGAAAAAGAGCAGCACGACAAGCAGCGGCAGGCCTAGGCGCTAGGCAGCAGAGGGTAGGTACGGCAGGGAGGCCTGCGGCCTTGGGTGCATGCGGCTAGGGGCCTGGCCGGCTGGTCTAGACAGCAGTCGGACGCAACAGGCAGCCGGTCCTCTCTATGTGGTCACACATATGCACGGGCCCCATGCGCCGCATGCACCCCGAACGAGTGGCCACACGCGCTCCCAGGGTGCGGACCCTACCTGAGTGTATCTCCCTCCTGTTAATAAATAATGATCGATGAGGAGAAGTACTCCCTGCTGTTAATTAATAAATAAAGAGTAATAGTTCGATAGCTATTTTATTTATTTCTCTGCATGCATAGAGATGATAATTACATGTTCGAGAAAGGTAACATAGAGATAAAAGCATCTGGTTAATGCTTTATGTAGGTACATATAAAGGAAAAACTGCATATCTTTTTTTCTGGAAGAAATAAGCTGCCGATTTATTTAGGTCTAGGTTTGTTGAGTAAACCTGCTGGCACGGAGACTTGGACAGCTCCTGACCAAATATGTGGATACCTGACATGTATCTCCTGCTCCTGTATAGTCAGCATGATATCTAGTGGCCAACTTGCTAGTGCCCATTGTTGTAGTGCTAGGTTTGTCCCTGGATCCAACTTGCCTCACCTATATATCTTCCAAGTAAGACTTGTGCATATACCTGAACCTTCTCTGCTACCTCATGGTCATACCCTCCCATTAATTAATTCTTGAATGCTGCGTAGTCCCTACTGAAAGAGGCGGCACCAATCAGCAACTCTGCAGCTGCTCTCTTCCTTGTAGTAGGTACTGCATTATGGGGAAGAGCCCAAGGCTTGCACAAGTCAGCACTCTCCCGTTTCCATCCCCTTGCTTGCGTTCTCCCCGTGCTTGTGTCTCAGTGACATGAACTCGTCGTTCCTCTGTTCCAGATGATCTGGCCAAGATCGGCGGCGAGCAGGGTACTGGTGGGTCATCAATTCGTCTCCGAACTCTCCGGCTTGGAGAAGACTAGAATGCAAGGGGAACAGAGCGAGACCGTCAAGTACAGGTGAGCGCCCATTGGAGTGGAGCTCTTTGCGTTGAATCGATCGAGCTCGTCTCACCAACTGCAATCGGCATACGAGTTTTTCCATGACCTGATGACGCTGCAGGATATTTGCTGGTACATGGAACGTTGGCGGCATGGCGCCGCCTGATGATCTTAGCTTGGAAGATTGGATGGACACCAAGACCGACTCCTACGACATCTATGTTCTTGGGTACTCCACTTTGCCAACCGATTTGTCATCTCTTAATTTATCAGCGTTGTCTTTCATCAGGATGGTGCAGTAAGAAAGAATCATCAGTCGCAACGTTTGCACGATGCAGGTTCCAGGAGATGGTGCCACTGAACGCGAGGAGCGTGCTTGGCCCGAAACAGAGGCGGGCAGCCATGAAGTGGCAGCTGCTCATCGGTGACGCATTGAACAACAGGAGGCATGGAGATGGAGCTGCAGCAATGCACGATCAAGGAGGACAGGGCGGCTTGTTCAGGTGCCTCATGAGCAAGCAGATGGTCGGCATCTTCGTGTCGGTGTGGACAAGGAGCAACCTCCGCCGGCACGTCCGCCACCCTGGCGTCTCCAGCGTCGGCGCCGGCGTCCTCGGCCGGCTCGGCAACAAGGTAAGATATATAGAAGCAGAGTCGCACACACGGACGCACGGTACACCAGAAGCATGCATGCGGATGACGCGGCGTGCGTGCGGTGCGCTACGCAGGGCGCGGTGTCCGTCCGGTTCTTGCTTCACGGCACGAGCTTCTGCTTCGTCTGCTGCCACCTGGCCTCAGGCGGCGAGGACGGCAACGCGCTACGCCGGAACGCTGACGCCGCGGGCATCCTCTCCAGGACCAGCTTCGTCCGCTCCGGCGGCGCGCCGGCAGCACCGGATGAGCTGCCCAAGAAGATTCTTGGCCATGAGTAGGTCGCCCGATCGAGCTCTGAACATTCTACCGGCAGCAGCAACGGAAAACAGTCGTTGATGATCGAATCGTGTACTTGCATGCAGCAGCGTGGTGTTGTTCGGGGACCTCAACTACCGGATCTCCATGGACGACGACGACGAGGCACGGCAGCTGGTGCGGGCCAGGAAATGGAGCATGCTGCTGGAGAACGACGAGCTGCTGCTGGAGCTCTCCAAGGGCCGTCAGTTCGATGGTTGGCACGAGGGCCACGTCACCTTCGCCCCGACCTACAAGTATCGCCGCAACTCCGACCAGTTCTACTGGTGCGCTGTCGACGGCGTCGCCACCGGCCGGCCGGAGAAGCAGCACCGCCACCGCGCGCCGGCATGGTCTGACGACTCTGACGCCCAGCTCTCCCAACACAGATATCCATGCAGGCGATCGAGATGGTTTTGTTCTCACGGTGTTCGTTGCTGCTGTTTTTTAATTGTTTGCAGGTGCGACCGGATCCTGTGGCGCGGGAAGGGGATGAAGCAGGTCCGGTACGAGCGCTGCGGTGGCTACCGGCTCTCCGATCACCGCCCGGTGAGGGCCGTGTTCCACGTCGTGTGCGAACTGGCGGAAGGCGTGGATGGTTAAGCTGCAGGCTTTCTGTGCTTTGGAACACATTTTATTAACAAACGACACTGTAAATTTTACAAAGTGTTCAAAACTCCCTGCAGGCTTCTCTGCTTTCAAACATTAAACAAACGAGACTGTAAATTCTACAAAGTATTCAAAAATCTAGGCCACAAATTTCACGCGAAGCGTACTGATTACTGATTCCTGGATCGATGTGCCTTCAAAATGGACTCTAGATGATACATCTGAGGATGGAAGGCGCTGGTTCAGTGGTTTGCGCCTTATTAATTCCTATCTGCGGGTGAAAATTAAAGTACATTTTCTGCTCTCTGCTGAGGATATGGAATTCAAGGATCATTGACCCATTAGTTGAGTAAATGACAGATTATTATCCAGCCGGTTCATGTGCCGGTGGGATACAACTTTGTAGAGTCACTTGGATCAAATCAGTTTTCCATGGTTTCAAGATGCATTTTCTCCACTAATTTTGTCATTCGTATCTATAAAAAAAGGTATTTTAATGACAATATTCTCAACTTAAGGGAATGAATGATATTTCGATTTTAAATTTCTGCAATTGGCATTAGGTATATATAAATGTCAACTCTCATAAGAAAATATTAATGCACTTCAAATTGTATCCACAAATGGCGACGTTCCTTACCTTTGGCCTTGACCTTGGTGGATGTTCTGGGTGTTCAGAAGCATCAATCCGAAGAAATTAAGAAGATAGGCACTGGCTTTAATATCACTAAGCAGAGAAACGACTTTTGATCCACTTTAAAATTTAGCTTTAGTCCCAGTATTTTTTACGTCCGGGACTATAGAAACCTTTAGTCCCGGTTGATAGCTCCAACCGGGATTAAAGGTCTCCGCCCAACGGCTACTGTGGCAGGCTTTTGCTGCAGGGGACCTTTAGTTCCCGTTGGAGCTACCAACCGGGACTAAAGGTTAACTTTTACTTCGATTGGTCCCTCCAACCGGGAGTAAAAGTCTACTCCCGGCTGGAGGCTCCGTCCGAAACTAGAAAGGGACTTTTAGTCCCGGTTGGTGTCTCCAACCAGGACTAAAGGTCCCATCCTATATACCCCTTCTTCCTCCCAGAGCCCGAGCCACATCGACCTTAGCGTTCTTGCTTCATCGCCGGCCTCTCTTCTTCCTCATCGCCGGTAATCACAAGATTTCTTCGATTCCTCCATCGATTCTTCGGTTCTAAAGGTTACCAACTTTATACTCTCATGTTTCATCAGTAGCATATCTCATTTTGTGGACTAGATATATGTGTTTTTTTATGATGGATTTTTTTATTTGTAAGCCATTTAAGCTCAAAATCACTTTAAAGTTTGCATATTTGGATGAAAGAAGGTTAAAGTATTTATTCAAAACTAGTATTCAGCTTTCATTTTTAGCGTGCATAGCACACTTCATGGTTTAGAGATATAGAGAATTTTAGAGATTTTTTAATTTTATTTGTTTATAAAATGAGAAATTTATATTATATTAAAAATGAGTATAGAGAGTAGATGGCAACTGCTTCTAGGTCCTTGGCCTCTCATCGGGTTCCAAAGCGACTGAGGCCAGACCTCCCTCTCATTACATGCTGCAAGTTTGAGGAGAAGATTGTGATGGAGTACCGGGTGAGGAAGGAGTGTCCCAACAAGGGCCGTATCTTCTACAAGTGTCTGGATCGCAATGTGAGTTATTTTGTCGCATTTAATGATTATGGTTAATTTATACTTATTTTCATGATGATTGTGATTAAAGTTTTAATTTTTTGTTTTAATTTCAGTGGGATGGCACTGGATGTTCAGGCTGGTACTGGGAGTAAGAGTATGTTGAACACGTGCAAAACTCTCTTGCACAGGCGGCTACGGCGGCTGATGAGGCAGTGATCCTGTGGAAGAAGCCCATAGATGTTGAACAAACGCATGATCTGTCTGTTTTAGTTGGGATTGGCCGCGAAATCCTTATGTTGCTGAAGTGCATTTTAGCTTTAGTTTTTTTAGTGGTAGTTGGGATTGTCTACATTGTAGCGAGACTTTCATAAATTAATACCTTGTGTGGTGGCATGCATGTCGTATAATTAACTAATTATGTTCTAGGTTTTAATATGGTATGTATGTCATGTAATGCAGATGAGCCAGCATTGGATGTACAATGCTGATCGCCGCTCCCAAGAGTTCATTGAGGGCGTGCATTCTTTCTTACGTGTGGCCGAGGCAAACAAACGCGATGGTTTCATGTGCTACCCATGTGCCATATGTAAGAATTTGAAGAAATATGTTAGCTCAAGGAGTCTTCATTCATACTTATTGAAGTCGAGTTTCATGCCAAACTATATTTGTTGGACGAAGCATGGAGAAACCGGGGTTGTAATGGAAGAAGGTGAAGAAGAACAATGGGACGGTGATGACATTATTGCTGAATATGGTGCCTTCAATGATACTGTAATGGGCGAAGCTGAAGAAGACGTAGGGGCGGAAGATGAGCCCGCTGATGATCTTGGTCAGGCCATTCGTGACGCACAAAGAGAATGCGAAAGTGAAAAGAAGAAGATCAAGTTCGAGCGCATGCTAGAGGATCACAAGAAATTGCTATACCCAACTTGTGATGCGAGGCAGAAAAAGTTGGGTACCACACTAGAATTGCTGCAATGAAAGGCAAAGAATTGTGTATCTGACAAGGGATTTGGGGAGTTACTAAAAATCCAAAAGAAGATGCTTCCGAAGGATAACGAATTTCCCGCCACTACGTACGAAGCAAAACAGGTATTCTGCCCTTTGGGATTAGAAATCCAGAAGATACGTGCATGTCCTAATGACTGCATCCTCTACCGTGGCTAGGAGTATGAGAACTTAGATGCATACCTGGTATGTCATGCATCGTGGTATAAGATCAGGCGAGCTGACCCTGGTGATGTTGAGGGCGAACGTCCCATGAAGAAAATCCCTACCAAGATTATATGGTATGCTCCTATAATACCACGCTTGAAACGTCTGTTCAGAAACAAAGACCATGCAAAGTTGTTGCGATGGCACAAAGAAGACCGTAAGGTAGACAATATGTTGAGACACCCTGCTGATGGGTCCCAGTGGAGAGCAATCGATAGAGAATTCCCAGAGTTTGCAAATGACACAAGATTCTTAAGGTTTGCTTTAAGTACGGATGGTATGAATCCTTTCGGGGAGCAGAGCAGTAGTCATAGCACTTGGCCTGTTACTCTATGTATCTACAACCTTCCTCCCTAGTTATGCATGAAGCGTAAGTTTATTATGATGCCAGTGCTCATCCAAGGCCAAAGCAACCTGGCAACGACATCGATATGTACCTGAGGCCACTAGTTGAAGAACTTCTACTTTTGTGGAACAGACCAGGTGTACGTGTGTGGGATGAGCACAAACAGGAGCACTTTGACCTGCAAGCATTGTTGTTCATAACAATCAATGATTGGTCTGCTCTAAGTAATCTTTCAGGACAATCAAACAAGGGATATAATACATGCACGCACTGTTTTGATGACATTAAAGGTATATTCTTGAAAAAATGTCGAAAGGTCGTGTACCTTGGCCATCGTCGATTTCTTCCTACGAATCACCCCTAAGAAAGAAAGGCAAATATTTTAAAGGTAAGGCAGACCACCAGACCAAGCCGGCAACCGAACTGGTGAGGATGTAGTCAATATGGTCAAGGATGTGAAAGTAGTATTTGAAAAGGCACATGGCAGCGAACCTGTTCCGAACGACGCCGACGGTCATGCACCCATGTGGAAGAAGAAGTCCATATTTTGGGAGCTACCCTATTGGCAAGTCCTAGAGGTCCGTAGCACGATCGACGTGATGCACCTGACGGAGAATCTTTGTGTGAACCTGCTAGGCTTCATGGGTGTGTATGGGAAGCCTAAGGACACACTTGAAGCACGACAGGACCTACGGTGTTTGAAAGAACGAGACAACCTGCAATGGACGCCATTACTTAAGTCCTGCCAACTACACTCTTAGCAAAGAAGAGAAGGAAAGCATGTTTGAATGCCTAGCAAGCATCAAGGTACCATCTAGATTCTCCTCGAATATAAAGGGTATAATAAATGTGCCAGAGAAGAAATTCCTAAACTTAAAGTCCCATGATTGCCACATGCTCATGACGCAATAACAAAAGTAGCACATGGGGTTGCCCTCCCACTTACTTTTGAGAAGATTATATCATCTTCGATCAACACGGCAATTCTTAGCCATCATCAGCCACAAAAATATTTTAATCTTGTCGGGACTTTTCCTTTCCACAATTGTTTGTAGGAAGGACCACCATCACCATTCACCATGAGACCATTACAAATATACAGATTTATTAACAGCAGGCCCTGTTACTTTTCTTTAGCTACCAACCAACACTATCCTTGTCATCCAAGAATTTGAGTTGAGCCTTGTAAGTGCAATCAAATCCTATTGTGGGTTTTGGCATTGATGACCACCAAATTAGAGGACTAATGAGATTTATCGAGATGACAAGCAGAGAATCGAAAAATGAGGATGATGTACAGGTTGCAGGTGTCCTAATTACAAAAGGTGGCTAGACCTAGCTCAAAGGAGGTTTAAATTCTATTATGTTTTGAAATTGAGTTTAGGGAAAGCCGTACTATTAAGAGGGATTTTAGGACAGTTCGTCAACTATTGAACCAGATGCTCAAATTCTCAGATTTACATCCTCTCATCTAGTCAAAATAGTCAGCCAAATTTCACCTCAACTTACTGTTTTTGCCACCTGTTAAGAGCGGTAGTGCCGCCCTTAACTGACCATTGGACCCAAGGGGTATTTATACCCTTCAGGCCCAGCCCACAACGGTTATCTACTTCACTCAGTCATTCTGCTCGAAACAGAACAGAACCAAAGCTCACCCTCTCTCCTCTATTGTTGCTCCTCCATCCCTCAAGCAAATCCTTAATTCCAACCATCAAAACTTGAGAGAAAAGACAATAAAACTCGATTGGAGAGCAGATCCACTGATTCCCAAAGTCTAAGAG